CATGACATCACATTAAAATAAAACATGACATCACATTAAAATAAAACATGACATCACATTAAAATAAAACATGACATCACATTAAAATAAAACATGACATCACATTAAAATAAAACATGACGTCACATTAAAATAAAACATTACGTCACATTAAAATAAAACATGACATCACATTAAAATAAAACATGACATCACATTAAAATAAAACATTACATCACATTAAAATAAAACATGACATCACATTAAAATTTATGTTTATATTTTATTTCCAGCCTCCAGGCGGGGTTAGCAGCAGCTTTGGACATGTGTTATAAACGTGGTCACCAGTGTGGGATGTAACAAAGTACAAGAACTTTGTTGTTGTACTTAAGTACATTTTTCATGTATCTGTACTTTACTTAAGTAAATTTCATCATGTGTACTTTTGACTTTTACTCCACTACATTTTACATTAAGTATCTGTACTTTCTACTCCACTACATTTCTGTAATGAGTTGTATTACAAATTACACTCATGTCACGTCACATTACGTTTATTTATTTATTTATTTTTCTTTTTACTTCAGTGGTTAGACGGTGAATTTCTGTAATTGGTCCATCGAAGCATTGCAAAGCAGGAAAGTACCATTAGAACCTCCTTCAAGAGAAACCGGAGCATCAGCAGCAGCATCACACACAAAATGAATTCCACCCCGGAGGAAATGAGCCACTCGTGGCCTGATTTAACAGACRGATTCAACTGAACTAGATGAAAAAATGACTTGTTGAGATTTGATGAAGGACGTTGGTGGTGAATTTACAGTTTCTGTAGATACCCATTCTCACTCCCAACTCGTCAACATATTGATGCTTGGTCAGCTAGCCATCTGTGTCCAGCTTCAGACGCGTCGGGTATCCTCAGGCTTCAGTTCTTAACAAGATGAGGTGGAGGAGGACGAGCGCGTTGTCATTTTTTAAAAAAGAGTAGGAAATGTGCGAAACTAACCATTCCAGACCCTAAATTTAAGCTATATTAGCCTCTGCCCGACCTCAGTACCTAAAATTAACCATTAATCCTGATCCCTCATGTTAACCTCTGACCCCCAACCCAAAAACCCCTAAGGGGCGTGTTCTGGACTAATTATCTGTTCTACCTTGACACTGTCCAGTAATCATATCTCATGATAACTAGTTTCAGCTGTTTTAATGTATCGGCCCAGACTTCAAGACTCCAGCAATGCATGACCTCTTTTATTTTGATAAGGTGTTTCCGGGCTGACAGCCCTGTCATTGGTTAGATGGTTCACAGTTGGTGAACTGTGATTGGTTGTAAGCATGTCACATGATGTTATATTATTGGCTGCTCTCCACTGACGAACCAGCTACAACTTGACAGACTTCTGATTGACTTCTGATTGACTTCTGCTCTGTTGTTGCTCAGATTAAACCATCTGACGACCATAAACACAGACTCTCTGTGCATTTATTCCAACGTGTTTCTGCATTCTTGGTAAATCATGCCACGACAGTTTTTTGGCGTTGTTGGCAGGACAATATGTTATGAATTACTTGCTTGAACATAAAAGTATTAGTTCCATTACATGGTGCAACCCGGAAAAGCCCCGGGCATCAAGGGCAGACGTGCGGGGGGGGCTACCCAACACGTCAAAACTGGACGCAGACCGTCCCTGCCCAAGCGTCAGGAGTGAGAACGTGTTATCTGTGGTTGTCACAATCTGCGATGATGCAGAGTCACAGAGAGTACACACAAAAACATGCACTATCTGTAGTACTGTTCACTAAAATGGCACCACTGATGTATTTAAATGTACATACAGTAGGCATGCTGCATGATATTGTAGACCAGTAGGAAGTACATTAAGCAAGTACTTTTACTTTTAATACTTTATGTATTTTTAAAAGCAAGTACTTACTTTTACTCAAGTCAAATGTTAATGTGGTACTTTTACTAGAGTACATTTTTGTCTGTGTATCTYRACTTTTATTRAAGTACAGTGTTTGAGTACTTTCTGTGGGCCTCCTCTCTGATCTGACAGCTGTGAGCCTGACTGACTGACTGACTGCACTTGGGAAGTGGGAGGAGCTCACACTGAGGACAGTGATAGCAGAACAGTTAGTACTTTCATATGTACTCGCCAAATTCTCCAGAAAAAAACATCACTAGATTTGTTCCTAGTTGTTTTTTGGATAAACGTTGTTAGATTTGTAGCTAGTCACCTTTTTAGAAAAAAAAAGTAGCTACCGGTATGTTAGCATCACTGCTTCCTYCTGTGCTGGAGCCCATGCAGGAAACAGTTTTTTTCTTTAAAATAAAGTGTTTTTGTTTGAGTTGTACAAAGTGTGGCACATGCACTTCATGAATTGTGTGTCACAGTCAACGTGTTGACTTGAGAGTCCTGAGAAGACGTGACATCAGTTGCAACATGCTGTGTTTACAGGAGTAAATATGAATGCTAACATGTTAGCATGCGTTGATTCAATCTGAAGTTGTTGTCCAATCAGAGAACCAAACTCAAATACTGATAAAAAAAAAAACCTTATACTTCCTACGACCAAAGGGAGGGGGTTACAACACAAAGGAAACATCCCCACTGAGTCATTAAGACTMCATGTATGTAATGACTATATGTGTAAGTATATATATTATAAAGCAACACTGAACTCCACAGGACTTTCTGCAGGTCTCATTAGCACCGTTCTGACATGGCCTCATGTTGAACCTGGTTCTCTGCCCACAGGTGAGGTGAAACCAGCAGCAGCTCTGCCTCCACTGGCAGCACAGSAC